CATGCTTTATTAAATACAATAATGCTTTAAATATTCATAAAATTATGAGATGGTATAAGTGAAATGGATTTGAATTTATATCAATTAGATGCAGTATTAAAAAAAGTAAAATAAAGATTTAAATTATTAAAAAATTCTTTTATTGCATTTAAATCGCTCAGGTTTTAAGCCATCACAGACTGATTTAATATGAAAGATAAAGACAGTATTTTTCCCAATGGCAACATTCTGAAAATCTACTTTGAATCTAATTTAATAAGTTATGCATGAGATCGCATTTAAAGGTAAATTAAAACCGCCACTTCTTCATTTTTATACAGCATCGTATACCAAAACAGGATATGAAAAACTAGTGTAAACATTACAAAAATGTGATAGATAATCTAAAGAATGAAGTTTCGTGATTAGAAAGAAACCTAGGGGATAAATAATCTGACGTTAAATAGGAAGCCTGTTTTTAATGTACTATTCAAATAAATCACATTGAATTAACAATAATCTACTTATTTTCCTTTAAAAGTAATTTTTACGTTATCATAATAACTGATAATACAATTCGTTGATTTATGCTGTACCTAAAACACTTAAATTTGACAGACAAATTACAGATTTTGGTGATCACTTCGCTGAGTATACTTGACGATCTCGATAGAGTCAAAGCGTGGTTGGCAGCTCTATAGAAACCCGTTCGCTAGGAGTGTCGTTTATATGAGATTATCATATTTTGTTACACGAGACACTGTTTTTCATCAATTACCGTGGGAATAACTTTAATTCCTTTCCAACTCTGGTTCATATCCCTGTAACATACAAAAACTTTTCAATAAATACCAAAAACACCATCATTGTTGGAAATAACTAAAAATATACTATTTTATATATTTAAATAAAATATTTACATATATTCCATATGAACAAAATACAGCAATTTCTTTTTAATTTAATTAAGTTTAATCTAAAACTTTCGGTCTTCCAATGAAATTGGAGAGCTCAACTGATCTTCCCTTCTTGTACTGTCTTGGCTTTGGTTTTTGAATGGTTCAAAAATTTCCACAGGTGGTCTGAAGATACTTTCCTCCTCTTCAGTATTGCCTTGAGGTAACGCATAGCACTGTCATTGAACAAATCAGGAGCTCCTTTCGTTTCAGCTTAATGGGATGTCACTGCTTGGCTACGATGTACTGCTTCTTACCTCTAATAAAATGAGTTTTCATTTTTAAGGAACGTGTAATCAATCTAGTTTCGTTTTCTTCGAAAGGTCCTTGATAGCCGATGTAAGCATGGTCCTTTCTATTCTTCTCCCTAGCTAAAATAATTTTCCCCTGAATTTTCTAATATTCCAAGATCTTCAGCATTAATTTAGTATTAAAAAATGCATTTATTTGTTTTCTTATTTGCTTGATTGTCTTAGTTTATGCATAGATTATTTTTTATATTTATGCGCTGTTGAGAAAGAAAATAAAATTAGTGTAATTATGTGTTTAATGGGTAACGAAATTCGTGTCGATTCATAACGCGTAACTTAGGTCCATTAGGCTGAACATTTTTAGTTTGTACATACTCCCATTCATTATGCAGGATTACAACAGACGACGCATTCGTTATGCGAGGCACGATTACATCAGACCGTTTGCTTATATTCTAAGACACGTCCTTACGTCTAAATAACATAAGAATTAGCAAAGCTGGCTTTACGAAAAATAAAAATGACTAGCTTTTGATTATCTGGTTCAATATTATATTATTCCACTTTTCCTACTAAGGCGTGTTTTACTATGAGCATAATAAAAGCGTTTAATTGCCAGTTCACTAGAAGAGCCTAATGTTTCTGTGATACATTATCCTTCAACTAAAATCATATATTTCAAATGGAAAACGTTGTACCTGGTTAGCACGTCCAGCTAACAACTGAAGATTTGTGGTTCGAATACCGAAGAAAATGCTGTTTCATTTTTCATGTTTCCTGTTTTCAAAAACATAATAGTCTCCGGAAAGTAACAATAAAAAATAAAAATGTAAGAAACACGAAAACTATAAAAACAAAAATATATATGCGAAGCAGTTTCTTAGTTCCGAAAATAAAAAGAAAATTAAGCCTTCTTAAGGCCGCAAATAGTGATGATGCACTGATATGCTGGAGATTCGGTAGTGAGAGATGCAGATTCTATGGAGTAAAAATTGAGAAGCAAAAAATCATCTTTTAACATTTTATAATTTAGATGAACCTTCATTAGATTACTGTGCCCAAAATTTCGATATCTGCTTGATATATTGAAATGGCTTATAATATGGTTAGTTAAATATATCATATGCTTTTCGGTAGCATATGATAGACATTACCTTTTGTTGTAACCGATCCCCCACTTGCTGCCTTTTGTTAGTATAACCTCGAAAATTCCTTGCTCAGTCAAATCACCACTTGCTCAGTAGAATACTGAAATTTTATTTATTAGTAGAAGACCCACCAGTTGTTGCCTTTTGTTAGCAAATGATTGATCCCGTAGACTATCAACGTTTACCGTGCTCTGGCTGATAGTAAAAGCTAGAATTAGTAGGCAGGTAGTAGAAGTGAGTAGGACACCACAGATCACCATGGATCGCAAAGATAATAGCACCAGGGATCATACGCTCTAGCACACTAACCATCTTTAGAATTAACCCCACCATGGGCCTTACATTGCTGAATTTGAATGGAAAGGGTGATGGGTTGTTTTGGGGAATGAGACTCCCTTATTTCTGATATCACAGTTGGGTATTTGTTATACGATGTGTTCCGTAGTACATGCTAATCTGGAAAATTTCCTGTTTTACAGAATTGTGCAGTTGTACAGCCTCTTGTTTTATTCAGTACATGAAGTCTAAAAGTAATATAGTATGCTTAATTAATAAAATTGACGCGATTTTTATTGCTATGTAGTTCTTTGAGGGTAGTCAAAGGAATTATAAAAACAAAAATATATATGTTGGCTGAAAAATGCAAAATTCTTTAAATGCTCATAATTAATTAGTCATACTTTTTTTTCAAACATTGCATAAGACCTAACAAATACTTTTGCTTTCCCCATTTCAGCCCCTCCGTAAAAGCAAACATCTTCTCTGCATTTTTCGTAAAGCGGGTGATACCTCAGTCTTTCCGCTTTAAAAGGAAATAAATACTTTCGAAACGTACAGGACATTTTCATTGATAAAATTCTCATTATTAGTAATTAATAAAAAATGAAGTTTTATTCACAAACTTATATCAATAACAAAAGCATATATTAATTTCATAAAAGGAAATGTAAAGGAGCCAAGGATTATTGAAATAAAATAATTTCGTTCAGATCGTTTAAAATTGAGCTATTTGCCTTAGTTCTGAACTTTGTTAAAAATAGTGTTTGAACAAACTATTCTGTACTAGATATAAATTGTACCAATTCACTCTGTAGAGCTATATAGTGTAAGAAATTTCTTTTATGAAGTCGTAATTATGTTGCAAAATCTTATAAAAATTATTCTTTTAACGCATTACAAATTTTCTACATTTAAGTTTATATCAGATATATTATTAAAGAAAAAAAAAAAGATTTAAATTACATAGAAGCCCATGTACATCTTTTAAATTGGTCAGATTACTAAGAAGTAACAGACAGACTAAATTGGAAAGGTAACCTTTGTCTGATGCAATATTCTGAGAACTGACTACACATGATAACGCATGGAAAATAAATCAGGGATTTTATATTTCCTATCAGCCAATAAATGGTAACACTTACAAACGTATAGATAATAAATAGTATAATAAGATAACGTGATATAATGGCCTGTATCTTTCAGGATTGTCTTCTAAAGACGTTTATATATTCCATAAATTTAAAACTCAAGCATGTGTCTATAATATACAGGTAATTGAAAAAGTGTGCTACGATAATGAAAGAGATATTTCGTCAAATTGCTAAGCATCTGAAACGATTCAAATGTTAAATGTAGCGATGTTGTTGATGCTGGACAAATGAAAATCTCCCAGGGCATTGATAGGGAGAGATGGATCAATCTGGTACGCTTTCATGTAAAGTTGAATTTTACTTACAGCAGCAGGAAAGTTTTAGAAAGTCCCAGTTTATTATGATGTGCCGAATGCATTTAATTTATTGGAATAAACAAATTTGTAGATTCATGATTTTCAACTCCAGCAGTCATTCCAATCGTAACTCCATAATTCAGCGAATTCGGAAAGGGTTCAAATATAATTTCGACGTTTGCTACCCAGCAAGCGGAGTATATATCGAAACCTGCTAATATAAGACGCGAACTTCGTCTGTTTCATAGAATTTGAACATTTGAATCCTTTAAAGATTTCTCTCTAATATGTTCTTATATATGAAGTGTTCTCTTTCGATAAACTTTTTGAATTTGGAAAGACTTTAAGACTTTTTAACGCTGCTATAAATAAATAAAAACCTGTTAAAGAAATAAGTACGTGTGATCTCTCCATACACTGAAAAAAATGAGAAGGACATTATTTTTTCTGATAGCCAAAAAAGAAAATCCCTCTTCTAAGACGTTGAATGCGTGCGTCAAATATTGTACGATGACTGGATAAGACGAGAAGAGGTTAAAATAAAAGGGATCCGTGAAGGCACTTCATACACAGGTAACTCTTTCTACATGTTTTCTCTGTGGAATTGCAATCCCTCTTACCGGCTTAAGTTTGAAAAAGTGACAAAAGAAAAGAAAGAAATCCAGTTATCGTAAATTTATTCTCGCATTTCCGTTACATTGAGAAAGTATTTTTCTGAATTTTCAATCCCAGTCACGCCCGATTTGGGATGAGAAGCAAACGAAAGCGAGAACCGCAAGCGGAGTCGGGGGTAGAGGTGAGAGGGAGAGAAAGGGAAGATAGTAAGCACAGTGGCCTATTTCCGCGGGCACCGATAGGCCACAGCAGAAAGGGATGACCTGATCTTACCTGTCCATCCGTCCACTCCGCACTTCGAACGTCTTCACCCCTGACCCCTTACCTTAAGTATTAAAAGCAGACCCCATCGCGTGTTCGCAAGTAAAACATTTCCGAAACTCGGACCCGGTTGTATCTTTGGATTTTCGGTATTGTTCTCCTTTCCTGTTCTCCGCGTGTTCTCTCCGTTTCTTCTGTTTGTCCCGAAATCCCTGTCATGGATGACAGATCTTGATCTTCGATTGGTTTCCGCACCACAGCAGCAGCTATGAATGTGAGTTTCCATTTTACACTTTCTTATTATAATATATACTGGAAATGAAAGCCCCATTGCACTGTGAACACTTTCTTCAGAAAGCATTTTAAGAATCTGCAATTCTTAATGAACTCCAAAATCAAGATTATCCCGTCATAAGTTTAGTCAGTTATTACGTAGACCTATAGCAGTATCAGCTACAGCTTTCCCAGCTGAAGAACTCGGAACCTTTTCTTCACTTATTATTCGGTTTAATGACAGGGATACCTACATCGAAATTCGTAATATAGCTGTTTTTCAGGCGCTAAGAAGCAATAGTGTGATAGATTATAATCCGTAGATTCGCGATCGAAATTTTTATTTAATAGTGTATATTTCATATTTCCAAGGCCTATTTTCGTTACATTAAAGTTCAATGTATTTAATTGGTAGAAATAGCTAAAATCTAGCGAAGAGCAAGAAAATCACTCTTATAAATTATATTTAGCTAGAAATACTATCCAATTTTGCTCTAGTAGCTTCGAAGCACTACTGACCGGAAACTGCAAAGCGAAATTCAAAATAAATTTAGTATTCTTTATAATCTTTTGCGATTTCAGTTTATCAATCGTTTAAATCTTAAAAATGTTTAGGGTATTCTTTTTGACTTGTACCAACTGTCAACATTTTTTCAAATTTTTGTAGTTACTAAAACACAAAATCATTTAAAACGTTTCATTACCTCAATGCTGTTATTATATAGTATTTTATCTATTGTTTGCGTTACATACAAGCCTCGCTCGCCAGTGGGGAGTTTGAGTGATATTTATTGTTGCTATTCAATTCGGAAATTTTTTGGCAGTATTTTTTGTGAGTAGGTTTTCGGATATCAGCGATTATATTTGGAGAAAATAATAAAATTCGGGATGCTTTATGCCCTATCGCTGAATTACTTATCCTCTATCAAAGTGCAAAATTTTGAATTCGATCCGTCAATGGGTGTTAGCATTATTCAATAATAAAAATTCAGAAAAAATTCTGTTTTCTTACATTCAATTCCTTGTTTTATTTACATAATATTTCAGAATCTCCAAACCAAACTAATATTCGTACAGGGCTTGTGCTCTTCTTGATTAGATATATTATGCTTGACATAAAGAACGTCATTATTAATGCAAATACCTCTACGATTTATAAATTTTACAAGAAGAAATTTTATGACTCTTTAAACATAAATTCCTGGATTTAGAGCTGCTGAGGAACTGCAAGATTAACATAGAAGGATACCGTGAGAAAAAGTTGTTGTAAAATACTTCAACACAACTGAGAAGAACTCGTAAACACAATGCTACAATTATCCGGACTGAATGAAAGGTTGCTTTAAGAGATACTGAATAGTAAACATAGTATTTAAGAGTTACTAAAACTGAAAACTGATTTGGATCGAATGGATCGTATACTTGTATTTAATTTTATTTGAACATTTTAAAGTTTATCCATTTACTGAATTGTGATGATTATTGAATTTTATTGAAAATTTTATTTGTTTGATTTATTGAATTATGTAACTGATTGTTCATACAGATTCGAATTATACCCTTCTACACCATGTGACTTAGTTAAAAAATAATAATAGTTCAATAAAGATGGATATGAATCATAAGTAAATAAAAATATTGCGCCATTAATAAAAAGTACAATTAAAATATACTTTTATGGATATTTATAAGCTCCTACATATGATCTTTTGAATTTCACTGTTAATAAGTAAAAGTATAAAAACTATTAATAATAATAAGTATGTGGCTAAATAACTTTGATATTAATTAACATTAACAATTTATCAGAGCTTAAAAATGAGGGAAATGCAACCTAGGATTGCCGTAGATTTAACTAAAACTTAAGTTCATTCAGAATTTAGCAATCGAAGATTGCCTTTTTGGCTGATTTTAAATTTTATATTAGCCGGTTCGACTTTCACTTAAAAATAAATTAAAAACCAGTTTTCGTAACAAACATACTAAATAAATCTTTGCTATTTTTTTATTCCTTTCGGTGATTATAATTTGATTTATTCGGTTATAGAAAAAACGAAGCTCATTTTAGCTGTAATTTCTTTCAGCTAAAAAGAACTATCTATTTCTGCAAAAATTATAACCAATATCTTTTTAAAGAAATTATTTATAATGTGTCCGAGCTTGTTCTTATGAGTCATGTTGAGGTTCTTTAGATATAACTGTATGTGTTTTAATAGGCATGAGCCTGAACAGACACCATTTTACAACGAGCATCCAAAGTTAACGAAATCTGAATATGATCTAAATTTTGAAAACAAATTTCTTAAAATTGCGCAACATTCTGTTTAAAGTAAAGTAAACGATAAGTAACTAAATTAAACGGAAAGTCATGAAACATCTAATGTTCCGAAAAATGAGTGGATGAAGAATCGGAGAGGAAAAGTTATTTTGGATGCAACGTAAGAGCTGAAGTTATGCCTGGAAGCTCAATATACAGGGTGTTTAAAAGCGTGGATTTTCAGGTTATTGAGTTTTTGAGAAAAACTCAAAATTTTCAATACTGCGATTTTCCTGATCTAATTTTATCTAACTAGTTGCACACAGTAAAAGGTTTCAGCAATTTGAATTCACACTCTGTTGTAATTTCAGCTCAATCTTTTGAATGCACTGCAAATTTGCTTTGCATCTTATGTTGTTAATAAAACATAATAATATTAAGCATTATGATTTAAACATACTGCAATTTTATTCATGCTTCACATTTATTATCTACAGATTTACATTTCAGAGCTGGCTGTCCTCTTTGAAAAATATATTGACTCTCTTGTGAATTTTATTCAGCGCCCCTACCCTTGAAATTAAAAGCCCCTTGAATGTGATTTGTGAGCAATGACCACATAAACGTTTTAGCTATTTATAGCATTTGCGTTGCTTTAAATAATTGATTAAAACTCATCACATAATACTGGAATAAAATGGTAATGAATAAAGATTTCTCATGACACTTATAGAGAGTAATCCAAAATTAGGATACATCAATCTTTCAAAAATTATGAAAATTCCAAAATGGATAGTAATCTTAAATTGTTTCAATGGATGATAATCGTATACTGTTATGAGCACTTGAAATTTCAGTCGCACGTAATGCTGTTAGTTTTAAAAACACTGTTTGATGCAAGAGGGAGATGAATTTTTCCAAAATAGGACGAAGTTTTACAATTAAGCGTTACTTCATAGCGAAATTTTGCGAAAAATCCTTGAAATGTCTAAACATACTTTTGTAGGTATTCGTGAATCTACAAGACAATTTTTTTCCGCTTAGTAACCTATTTCGCGAAACTAGAAGAGATCACCATAAGAAACGAAGTGACTGCCCATCTTTTCTAAATTCAAACAAAATGCATGAAGTTAGGAATAAAATGTTATAATAACTACTGAAAAGTATGAGAAAGATGATATCGCAACAAAATTTTAGCGTAGCGAAGTAATGCTCAGTCATAAATATTCGTTCTGCTTAAGAAAAATTCCTCTCCGTCTTGCATCAACAAACAATTTTTAAAGCTAACAGCATAAACTGCAACTGAAATTTCATGTGATACATTACTGGCTACGATATAGGAATCTTATCGATTGAAACACTTTGTCATTAATATCCATTTTAAAACTTCTAAAATTTTTTAAAGTTAGCTGGAGTGACTTTTGGATCATCCTATAGTAAAGAACTTGAAAACCATGCACAGATTCATGTCACAGCGTGTGAAGTGGTATATATTGAAAGAGCATGCTAATTAGACATATTGGATAGCACTGTAAATGCGCATTTCTGGTCATGTGTTTAGACTGTTACATGTACAGGTAATAATTTTCAATTCCTTGGGAAAAGGAATGTCACAGTATGCAATATGCGCCACGGTTTTAAAGGTTGATCAGAATAATTTTATTTGTTTCATGTAAAAGATGCGGGGCTATATTATTTGTATAATAAAGTCTGTGTTTACATGTATGTTTTAAAAATTTTTAATAATTTAAATTTTCCAAGTACATTCTTATTTTCCAATTATTTCCCCTTTAGCACCTCTTAAATATTCTCAGCTCCCACTGGTAAGCGATGTTGAAAATTATGAATTTGAGGAAACAAAAGGAAGTGAAAATCGGAACTATATTGGAAAATAACACAAGGAAATAAACAGAGGACGTTGAAATAAACTTCACAATCTTTTGAGGAAATGTTTTAATGATTATTTCGATTGTATCGATAATTTATTTTTTTGAATAATGGATGCAAGAGATGCACTATGAATTTAATGATTGATAAAAGAAACTATTGTTTAAAGCTAATTTCAGATGGGGAAATATTTCTTTTGAATTAACATTAGATAAAAGCTCGAATTCTATAAAAAAAATTTTAACTTCTTTTTTCTTATTTTCCTTCCTTTGTTGCATATTTTTAAGCATTGAATTTATTAAAATACCTTTTTTATGTTAATGAACTGAAAGCAAATGAAAATGACTGAAAATTTAAATAGGCTGAATAGGGGAGCATTTTTGAAACTAAATGGCAGTAAAAACAGTTAAATAGGTAATTAAGAAAAAGGTATTAATATTTTTCATCTTTAAAGGATTCATACAAAAGCAAAGAATAAGAAAGTCATATTGGTTCTTACAGCAGTAGGTGAATACATATCAAAATCTATTGAGTAAAAAAATATCAATAATTAAAAAACATCACCAAGTAATAATAATACTAATATTTACTAATATTGAATAAAGAAACTGGTAAAGCCAGTTCGAGAGGTTAATAGATTAATCTGCGTTATATAGGTTGTATGGTATTTTTATTTTTGGCCGTCAGCTTAAAATTTTTTTAATCAATTTTAATTAAAAAATTTAATAATTTTTTAATATTACATAAAATTTTAAGCATTTCGTGTGTATTAAAAGTTCATCAATTTACTAATCTTTATCATAATAAAACCTTTATTGAAGTTCATTATTATTCTTAACTATACAGCGATAATACAG